ACCTATTACAATGAAAATCATCATGTACTAGAAGATCTCCAAACCTCGTTGCTCCAATCAACTAGCTGAGCAACCATGACAGCAAGCAAAGGCTTCAAACTTGGGCTATTCTTCCAAGTCTGAGCAGGACAGGAGGTGTTTTTTCAAGTCTTAATTAAACAAGCTTGACTACAGTCAAACTGTAAGCAACCAAGCGAGGTGGCAACAGCCAGGTTTATAGGAAGAGGCAGCCAATGAGGATAACATGCATCGGACATGCTGATCATAAACAGATTTAAGGCTGAGGTGTCCCTTTGTCTTAACAGTTTTTCTGAAATTTTGTTTGGCTTTACAGAAACACTGACTAAAGTACTTTCAAATTAATAAATATCTTCAGTAAGATCAACACTGGAGTAACTCCCAACTAAGTATTAAATATGAGAGCGAAATCTGGTCATCTGTATGAATTTGGCTGCCAAAGGCACCTGTCTGTAATATCTAAAATCAAATTCAACCTATCCCAGTTTCTTCCACAATGAAGTTTTCCCAGGACTCATATGAGGTATTAAGGACTGGTCAGAACACCAGAACTAGTCAGTCATCTACACTCCATATTCATGCAGAAGAGAATGCAACACATACTTCTAAATAGCAGATTGTGCTAAACAGGTCGGTGGAACCTAAGTTGAATTTCTGTCACTATTTAGAGGTACACATATATTTTTAAATGCTCTCTATTTTGCTCTGTCATCTAGCACCTGCCCCCCAAGCACCAAAAAACAACAAGAGAGCAAGCAGGAAGCAGCCCACAAAGGGTTGGACCAAGTGCACTGGCCAGGAAGGGCCATGCATCCCTTCTGCTCAGAGTCCACGCCTGAGCTAGTGACAGAGCCAGCAGCAGAGAGCAGCAATGGGAGGGGACACAGGAAACAGCTGACGAGCACCACCGCTCCTGCACACCACCCGATTTTCTAAATCTTTGATTCCAAAAACCAAGAAGCCCTGCACCTTCCCCTCTTGTAAGCTTCACTCTCCAGAATAAGGATTCGTGCCTATTGCTACTACCTTTGGTAATTTTCTCCCATTACTAGCTTGGGCCAGCTCTTGGTTCCATGTTGATTTTCTCACAAAATTACATCCAAAACGGATGGGACCCTAAGGATATAAGCTCCACAGAACAAAAACCTGTACAATCAAGTGAAGTCCTCACACATTTTTCTCATACCAATTATGTACCATATTTTGAAACATACACACACACTAATGAATGATCTAGCATATCTGGAATCTAAACAATGCCTGTTAGCAACGACTCGGGGTTCATATTTTACACTTGGCCTTCTGCCGAGCCTCTTTTCTGTCAGCTTTCTTATTTTCTCTTCCATTTTCCTAAGTGAACACTATTTTGACAAGGGGTTAAGCAACACACAAAAAGCAGAGAAAAAATATTAACAAATTAAGCACTTTTGTCTCACCCTCCTCAGAACACTGTGCCAAGTGTTGCACATTCCACGCTGCAGTCTAGAAAACACTGCGCACAGGGACGGCCTGCTCTGCATTCAGCACACAAATCACTTTGACTATGATCACACGCATTTATCTTTATTTTTAAATTCTCCTCATTGTTACCAATGGCACTTGAACATTATTATTACTAATCCAGCTACTCCTAATAATAGTATTTAAGTAACTTGTCATCCTGGGAACTTTATAGACAATAGCTAATTAATTGTCAAGCATTTAATGTAACAGGATTCTAATCTCCAACCTCTGAAGCAGGGTGTTTATGTGTTAGAATGGTAAAACTTTTGTTTGAATTGCTTATTTATGCAGGATATATTCTCTATCACCTCAATTCTAATTTTTATATCTGCTTTGTAAGTAAAATAAAGAATCACACAGTGAAAGACACAGACAGTACACTTCACAAACAGTAATGAATCTCCTGTGACTCCTTTTATTCACACTACAATAGATCCTATATTACCATGCAGAGAAAAACAAAACACCATAGATTATTTCCCTTGTTTGCAAGATATGCTCACAGTATTCTGATAGGAACAAGAAGGTGCAGCAGGCTATGTCTTAGGAGTGTGAGTAAATACAGTATTCTGTTGACATCTTGTTCCTGCTTTCAAACAGCCAGATATGTTACATATGAACTGTCAGGACAGCTAAGTTTTCCTATCTAAATGTGTCCACATTCCTTCCAGAGACCTCATCTAAGGCTGAGGTCCCTATCTTAGTTGAACACTGTGGTAACAAATTTCATAACTTGCAATATTTAAAAGGTATAAACACTGCCAGTTTTATCTGCTAACCTCCCCTTCACACATACACCATACATACTTTTCCATGTGACAATGCGAATGGTCTGAATTCTGCAAAACAGAAAGGTGTCAAAGAGAGAGAGATAAAATCCCTTTCTCGGCCCCTTAATGAGGTCTCCAGAGCCAAAGGCAAACCAATAACAAATTGTACTTTCCACATATGAAGGCGGGGTTGGGGGGTGGGTTGCAGAAAAAAGGCAAAGGGCGGGGGTGAGCTTGTCATCTGAAATTAATTGAACTTAGCCATGCCAAGAAAACACTGGTAATAAACCCTCCCCATCTAAATTAAGGGTTTTATGCCATGAAAAAAAAAAATTTATGGCAGTAATTTCATCTGGGTTTTTCAGGAAGTGCTTGCTGATTTTCTTGTACTCAGTAGAAAAATCCCCAAGGAGCAATGCAGACTGCAATAAGGCAGACTTCTAAAAAGATACCATTTAATTTCTCACTCCTCCCCTTGCACTATTACCACTCTTCCACTTTCCTCTAACTCAGTATTAACTCTCTCAACACAATTCTCTGCCACTAGCTCCCAGCACCATCTTGCAGGGCAGGGGAGATGGGCTCAGACTGCCACTGCCAATCTATTGCTCTTGGCAAGAGAAGTACAGGCAAAGAGAACCGCAGGCCCGGGAGGCACACACATCTATTTGTCTTGGCTTTCTTAGTGACACCCAGTCATCTCAATGTAAGTACAAAGTCTGAGTGGCTTCAAAACAACTATCAGTCAACATCTTTAAGACTGGTGACAAGAACTAATGAATGACTTCTCAGGAGGAAAAATACCACACACAACCACGGTTCCCAGCCCATGGAACACATGTGGGGGGGGCGCAGCTACCCAGGCCAGGCACAGAGTTAGTTACCTGCAAGGGCTTTTTAAATCCTCATGGACCTGAGGATCAACTGTACAGGAACACACACACAGTACTGGCTTTCAAATGTCCACAGACACTGGCATGATGATGAAAATAGGAATTTCTTACTTACAAACGATAACTAAATTCACAGTAGCTTTTTGTCATTTTCTCAATGGATGGATTCTATAAGTAAAATGGCTAATTTACAATCCTGAAATATTTTTTGAAGTCAAAGAGTATCTTCATGTTGAAAAAGACCGGGAACAACTGATCTAAGTGTAAGAATTTTCAGTGTTTTACAATCAGGCACATGGTAGGCACTCAACATTTGATGGTATTTTCTTAGCCCCTTTTGTATTTTTTTCTTTCATTCCAGTCTCTAACAGTTTAGTTCATCGATCTGTCCCCTCTCTTGGTATACAAGATAGCAGTGGTTCTCAAACTATGGCCTGGAGATTTGTAGGGGTCCCTGAGACCCTTTTAGGAGGTCCGTGAGGTCAAAACTTGTTAATTCTAAGCAGTTATTTGCCTCCCATGTATGTACAGAGGCTCCATGACCTGTGAGATTACAACAGATTGAATGAGCAATATATATGAGAACCCCAGCCGTCTTTTATTTATTGTGGCAGCTATTAGGAACATTTGCAAGGCCGCTTTCCTCACCGAATTTGTTTTGTCTTGGAAAATAGTTATTTTTCAATAAAAATGTCATTTACACTCAATACTAAATTTTTAAATAGTAAATAATCATTGATATGTATACTCTGCATATGCAAAAGCTCTTTGAGATCCTTAATTTTTAAGAGTATAAAGGACTTTTGGAAAGAAAAGTTTGAGAACTACTGTTGCAGAGATAGCAATGACATGGTGCCAATGCAGAACCTAGTTTCTGCGCTCAGGAAAACTGCTGATCCCTACAGGTATACAAGCAGACACTTGACACCTAGCCACTGAGGATGCTGAAGGAGGATTCCAATGTTCAGGGTGTCTGGACCATCTGCTCTCCATGCTACCTTCTAATATGAGATTCTATAATTCTATCTTAGAGGGAACCTAAGGAAGCCTCCTTCCATAGTTGTGACTACTGACATGGAATATGAATAATACTTTATGTACCTTCATTTTCCTACCCACAAAACAATATGAGCACATTAATGGGCAAATTAATATTTTTCCATGGTTGTATAGTCTTCATGTCAGCACAATATTTCCAACATTTTGAAAGCAAGGTGACTTTTTATTTTGCTTATCGGGTTCTTTTTATAAGAAAAGCTCTCTCCTCCATGTCAAGTCACAGCTTTTAAATAACATAACATAGTACCATTCTCTCGGAAGGGAAAGAATGTTAGCACGATACCATTCACTCAGAAGAATATGGCCATTAACTATATTCTCAAAGAACACCCTGACAGCCAAGTGGTCAGGTCAATAATGAGGCAAACAAAGATTCTGCTGACAGAAATTCCAAAGGCAAATAAGTTCATGCCAAATCTGTAGAGATGAGTGGGATACTGTAATCTTCTACACAAGCATTGCTCTTGCATGAGATGGAAACAGGACGGTTTACCCTTAGTGAGCATACTGTACCCACAAAAACTAGCCAGTTGTTTAGAATATTCAATGTCACACCAATGAAGAAAAAGAACTTTTAGAAAATAAAATAACCATACTTAAGTAATTTGATTCAATTCAATGAATATTAACTGAGCACCTGTTATGTTCCAGTAACTATTCCAGGTGACATGAAGATAAATGAGACTTAACCTAGGACACAGTCTAGGCACTTACACTTTAAAAGCTAAAACAAGTAAAGCACTGTAACACACTGTGATAAGAGATATCAAAGTAGGTGTTTAATACTATTGAAACACAGATGAGAAAGTAATGAATTCAGGCCGGTGGGAATAAGAGAAAATAGATATTGCATATGCAATGGGAGAGGCAGGAAGGGAGAAGTTTATGCCTAACGATCTCCATCTCCAGTTGAGCCCTCAAACATCTCTTGACGACCCTTCTCTGTGACACTTCTCTCCACAGCTGTTGTTTGAAATCTTCTCCATTCCTCTTACATCTGCTCAGCAGCTGTTCTTGCTGCCTTCTGCAGAGGAGAGAGAGGAGGACCGGCCTCTGGCCACGCAATTCTAGCTGGGCTGCCCATCCCTCTCCCCTTTCTGAGGCAGCCAAGGGTAACCCTCCACTAAGACTCTACAGCCGATCGAGTCTCCCCCGTCAGGAAGCTCTGCTGGCCAGCCTTTCCCCTCCCAATCTCTCCCTCACTCCCTGAACACCAGCATATAAACATGCTTCCCCGGCAGCCCTCTCAAGAAGTGACTATTGTTCTCTCAATTCCCCTGTCCCATAAATTCCAGGGCCAGGAGGTAGCAGAGGCAGTTATGTCTGCTCCCCAGTACCCTCCCAGCAGGCCTCTTCCACTCTGCCCATGTCTCCAAATCTCCATGTTCTTGCAGAGCTCAAGCCCCACCCGCTTGTTGGCTGCACCGTCACCTCCCATCTCCACCTTCATTCCACCCGAATGAAAACCCGCACTCCTGACTCTCTTCCTTTCCACTCCCACTCCTGTTATATGGCAACAAAAATGTACACGACGCAAACATAACGTGGCCTCCCAGATCCTTCACAACTTCTCTCATGAATCCTTCTTTCACTGTATCTCAGTGATCCAAATCCATGGGCAACTCCTTGAATCGGTCAATAGAAACCCTTACCCATGCCAAAATTCTAAATTCATACATTCCACATTCCAACACCCCACCCCATCCTTCCTGTTCATTAGTTTTGGTGTCTCTGTCGTTAAAAATTCTTCCCCCTCATTGAACCTTCTAATCTACTGATTCTGTTGCAATCCTACAGCCTCTTTCTGTCCTTTGAGCTTAGATTTGCGGTCTATGTACAATACAACCATTCCCTTGCAGACTGCTCTTATTTCCTTTGCCCCCTGCCCAGTCACACGTACTTATTAGCAAACTCTAGCCCTAGTGACGCTAAGTATCCACTTTATCTGAGTACAAACCCACATCACAGATACAGCTAGAGAAAATCACACATTGTGACTGTATTTTAAATTCAACATGGCCTAGCAATCCTACACCCTTTTTGACTTTCTAGGATTGATTTCACACTTTGAATTTTCCAAGTTCCTCCTTTCAACTGATGATTTTATATCCTATTTCACTGAGACTACAGAATGTCTCAATTACCACCAAAACTACAGAATTATGGACAACTAAGTAATCGTTTCCTTTTTTCCCGTTACAGTGGAGAAAGTATTCCTTTCCTTATCAAAGCCCAGTCCTTTTATGTGTATTTTAGGCCCCACCTCCTCTTCCCTATTCAAGGACTGTGCATCTTCCCTTTCAATGCATCATCAGTCTCTCAAAAAGAACAGGCGAAATGTGAATTTTTACAGTCTTTTGAGAAATTAGCAATACCAGCAAAAATTACATAAAATACCAACGTATCAAGATGGATACGGCTTCCCTGGTGGCTCAGTGGTAAAGAATTCGCCTGCAGGTGTCGGAGACACAAGTTCTATCCCTGAGTGGGGAAGATCCCCTGGAGAAGGAAATGACAACCCACTCCAATATTCTTGCCTGGGAACTCTCATGGGCAGAGGAACCTGACAGTAGGCTACAGTCCATGGGGTTGCAAAGACTCAGACACAACTTAGCAACTAAACAACAACAAAAGATGGACGCGCACACACACACCAGGTAGGCTGGGGAAGTGCAAAATGTTCATTATAGCCTAGTTTCAAAGGCAAAAAGAGAAAACAAAGCAAATACTCATCAACAGTGAAAGCTTGAATAAATTATGATAGAACATAACATGGACCATCACAGAGCCCTTAAAAGAATGAATTAGAGAGATTCTCATAGATTTAGTGCAATCAATATAGCTCTACTTCCTACTTGCTTTCACTCATCTTCTAATCCTACCACAATACTGAACATGATTCTGCAGTGATAACCATTAATCTAGATGATGCCAAAGCCATAGCCCCTTTTCTGACCTTATTCAAACCACTCAACAGAGTTGCTTACTCCCTTCATTCCTTGAAACACCCCTCCGAGACTCCATACCACCTTCTCCCAAGTTCCTACTTCACTGGCTGTTGTCTCAATTCTCTTTGCAAGCTCAGTCTCCTCTTTTTGACTTCTAAATACTGTCGTTGCTCAGAGTTTGGCTCTACATCCTCTCTCAGGTGAACAGGTCCACTCTTGTGGCTTGAAACACAACTATACACCAAATAATTTTAAATGTTAGACCAAACCTCTCCTCTAACCTCCACATAATCTAATTCAGTTGCTGAGTTAAAATCTCTCTTATGCAAGCAGACAAATTCAAGCATGTATAAAATAGGAGACTTTGATTCTGCATGTCCTCCCAGCTCCAACCCACACTGAAAATCCGGGGACCTTTCCTTTCTCCCACCTGAGCCAGCTGTGTTACATTTATACGGATACTAACCAGATACCAAAAGCAGCCCCTCTTTGCCATCCCTTGACCTTTTCAGCAATCATTAGCCAAAACATGTAGATTCTATCTTCACACTATATTTCACTAGCTACCCGCTTCTCTCTCCCCTCCTGAGCCAAGCAGCCCACTAAGTTGCTTCCCTGCTTCAGTTCTCGTCCCACCCCCTTTAGTAACCCATTATCCACAAAACAGCCATTGTGAATTTTTTAGAATTTAAATCAGATTGTGTCATTTTCCTTAAAATCTTCCACTGGCTACCCACTGTTCTTGAATAAAACACACACTAGAACCATGTATACATGACCACACTCATGCTACTGTTCCAGCTCACCTCACTGGGGCCACAAAAACCTTCTGTCCCTGAGGGTTTCTAGAACACACCAAGCTGCTTCTATCCTGGGACCTACACACACGATGTTCTCTCTGAATGAAATGCTGTTTCCTAGGCTCTTTACTCCTGGTCTCTTCATTCTTCAGACCTCAATTTTTTGTCTATGGTTGTTTAGCAGTTAGTTGTGTGATTCTAGTTGTGCGATTTCATGAGAGGGGGTGAGCTCAAGTCTTTCTCCATCATCTTGTCTCTAAGGCCCAAGATTTAAATTTAAAATGACACCTCCTCAAAGAGGTCTTTCCTGACCACACTATCTTAAATAGGTCTCATTGTTACTTTCAGCCACAGTATCCTGCTTATTTCCTTCACAGTGCTTCCCATTATTATTTGTTATTCAATTATTAAGTAGCTATTCCGCTAGAATTAAGAGCTATCCTCATAGAACAGAGTTCAGCTCACAGAGGGTCTTTAATAAATGATCACTCTAGGAGGGAATCAACAGGATAACTAAATTTCTCCTGTCTCAACAGTTCTCCTTCAACCCCTGTGCCCCTGGTTAACACCCATCCACCCTATCTCTATTGTCTCAAACTTCTTAAAACAACTGTCAACTCATGATTATTTGTTTTTAGTTTCGTTGAGATATACTTGACATACAACACTATATTAGTTTAAGGTGTACAACATGATTTGATTTTACCCATGATTCTTTTACCTCATACCCTTCAACCCACTTCTCTCCATGCCATGAGACTGTTCCTCCTTCTGACAGAACATTCTTGTTGTTAAAACAAATAAAAATTTCTTATTGGTCTTATGACATTAAACCTTGTTGATCACTCCTTCCTTCTTAAAAAGTCCTCTCGGCTTGTGTGACAACTCGCCCTCTCGCTACTCCTACTAACTTTACCACGCCTTTTCAATATCCTGCTAAGGCACCCCTTTCTCCCCCCTTTCCTAAAATGCTGCTGTTCATCAGAGTTCTAACCCAGACGCCTGACCCTCTCTACAAACACTGAACCATCTCATGCACTCACATGATTTCAGTTACCTTCTTACAAATGCAAATGGCTTCCAAATCTGTATCTTTAGCCCAGATCCTACTCCCATGCCTCAGACCATTTGTGACTAAGTGCCTAGTTGATATCTCTACTTGGGTACCTCAAACTCAATATATTAAACTAAACTGATGATCTTCCCCTGCTCTATCTGCCCACTCTCCTGTATTCCCATCTTAGTGAATGGTATCCATGACTCCAAGCCAGTAACTGAGTCTTTGACACATTTATGTCTCTCTCCTCACTCCCTCAACACATCTACTTTAAACCAACATCAGAATATTCTAACAATTGAACATTTCTTTAAATTGCCGACTTCTCTGAAGCTCCACACTGCCACTACCATGATTCAAGCTATGGCATTTCTTGCATAGACTACTATAAAAGTCTTCAAATTCTGTTCTTAACTCCCTCAAAGGCATTCTCCAGAGAGCAGCAGGAGTCCCTGTATAAAATAAACTCAATATGATATCCACTATTTAAAATATATCAATGGCTTCAACTGTCTTCACAATAAAATTCAAATGTCTTAACCTGGTTGACAAAGCCCTGAATGATCTGGACCCTGCGTGCCTCTCTAGTCTCATTTCTGGATACTCCTTGCCTCCTCTTCTAGGCTCAGACCACAGTAAACTACCAATTTCCCATGCTTTCTCTTCCAGCAGTCCATACATGTTATTCCCAAAACCTAAGACAGGCTTTCACCTTCCACTCTGCATCCACAACCTCCTCCTCCACCAACCCTCATCTTCTTAGACTAGACTAGGTGATGCTCCCGAGTACTAACTATCCTACAGCCCCACTTCAGAGAATTGAGATTCTCTATTGATCTGTCTGGAACTTTTCAGGTGGCTCACTGGTAAAGAATTCACTTGCCAATATGGGAGACATGGGTTTGATTCCTGGGTCAGGAAGATCCCATGGAGGATGAAATGGCAACCCACTCCAGTATTCTTGCCTGGAGAATCCCACGGACAGAGGAGCCTGGCAGGCTCTAGTATATAGGTTCATAGAGTCGGACACGACTGATCACACATGCTATACATATATGTATGTATGTGTGCATGTATGTATATGTATTAACCCGTCGGCAATCCTACCTACTCATCCGAGAACCACTGAATCAGAATTTCCAGGGCAGGGACTCCAGCATCTATACTTGACGGCTCCCATGTATGGCAAATGTACAGCCGGGGTCGAGAAGGACTGCGGTCAGTAGCTCTCCTTACGGAAACAGAACACAATGTGTCCTGTTGTAAACCAGTGTGTAGTTCCCGGCACACCGCTGACACACAGAAGTTACTCAAATATGCAATGAAGCAAAGAAAGGAGCAGGGCAGTGGGTGGAAGGAAGAGAAGGACTGAATGGATTTAAACTAATCCTCAAGAACCTTCCCCACACTAGTAAAAATGACATATTACCAAGAGTGCAATCTTAAAAACAAAGTCTCAGGAATTCCCTGCAGTCTAGTGGTTAAGACTTAGCGCTTTTTACTGCCGTAGGCCCAGGTTTAACATCTGGTCAGGGAACTTTGATCCCACAAACCATACAGCCCAAGAAAAAGAAAGAGTAAAGCTCCTACTCTGCTTTCAGGTTTACTCTGTTTACTTCGCTACAGTTAAACTATATCCTCTTTGCATCAACTGTAAAGAATGGCAGCTAAGATATGTTAGACCTAAAAAGTTCTGTACAAATCAGCTTTCACATCTGTAACACCATATGATATGCCTTCTTGACCTTATAAATACTGGCTAGAAAGGCATAAAAATGTAGAAAAATGCCAGCCATTTGAGCACCTGCACTTTCCTTAAAATGCAGAGTGAGAACTCCTGAAATATAGCAGTGGAGTAGGTTAAAATAGTGCTGAACCTTCCAGAGAAAGCAATAACTACACAGTGCTTTAGTAGCAAGTATGCATAAAACATAATAAAATGGCATAGAATTAACACTTCTCAAAAGAAAAATCTAATAAAATCCTGAATTTGGAGAAGAGGCACTGCACAAACAGTGTAGAAACATCTTTATATCTCCCTTGTTGCTCTGAGTGCAGCAGCCTCAGTATATATTTGTTGAATGAATGCCTGATGAATGATGAGTGAATATGGTCCTTAAAGGAATTACTCACAATTTCTTCTTCCCCTGATCAAAGAGCCAGCTACTCTGAGCCTCATGTTTCATCAGAAAAAATATTAACCAAGTGCCTAAACCAGCTGGTAATGTGCTAGTATAGAGCATTCTAGAAGAACCACATGGGCTTGGCCTCTGCAGCTCAAAGCCTCTCATACAAATCCCACTGGTGATATCACCTCCCAGCACCAGCACCTAACAAGCATGCATACAGTAGAGGCAGCAATGTTTCCTAAACATGCCAAGTTGCTTTATGAGGCCATAAATTTTTTTCTTTTTTTAAAATTTTAGTGTAGTTGATTTACAATGTTATGTTAATTTCTGCTGTAGAGCAAAGTGACTCAGTTATACATACAGACTTTCTCGTATTCTTTTGCATTATGGTTTATCACAGGATATGGAATGCAGTTGCCTCTGCTATGGAGTAGGACCTTGTTGTTTATCCACCATATATGTGATAGTTAGCCAGTCCCCAACTCTCAGTCCTTCCCTCCTTGACC